AAATAGAGATAACTAAAAATGATACTGAATTTCAAAAAACAAGATGATAAGTATTCAACAATGGTTGTTATACTACATATTGTTGTCTTCAAAGTAGTTGTTCAGATTACCAGATATAGGCATGTAAAATTGGACAAAAAAATTAAGTATTTTGTGTTCCTTTCAATAAACCAATAGAAATTAGTAGTACAATTATCTTAGTTGTAATAAGCAACCATATGTGTGTGTGTGTGTGTGTGTGTGTGTGTGTGTGTGTTTTCTGGTGTTATTTATTTATTTATTTATTTATTTATTTATTGGATACAGAGTCTCATTATACAGTTCAGATTCATAGTGATCCTCCTGTCTCAGCCTCGCTAGTGCTGGGATTACAATTATGTGTGCCACCACACCCAGTTTTGGGGCCGGCGCAGCATGTGATACCAGTGGTCAAACTCAGGTCTTTGAGCTTGCCAGGCAGGCACTTAGACGGGCAAGCTATCTCCTCAGCCCTTTCTGGTGCTTTTCTAAACAACTACATTTACCTAACATGTATTCTGACTCTGTTCTCCTACAAGGTAAGAGGGCAAATGAAGTTCACCTTCACACATGGTCTCATTGTTGTCCATTTGTGACCCAAAGCAAATACTCAGAGATATCTATGGTAATCTAACAATCTAGAGATATTCTAGAACTTACTTTCCTTTGGCTTTTCCAGCTCTGTTTTCTCAGCAGCCATTTGATTTATATTAGATTTCTGAACTGAGTTAATATTTGAACTCGATTGCATCCTTGCCAAATTCTGAACGTTCTGGGTCATGGTTAAGGCTTAACCAGGCTTCATGCTAGAATTTTGAGGATTCTGAGTAAGCCAAAGAGCAGTTGGCAGTTCCACAGGAAGATCACTACCCACACGAGTGCAGATTTGTCCCCAGAAGACCTAGATATCATATCAGTTTATCTTTATCTTAGAAAAACGAAGTTCTTTGTTCGGCACATATTACCTCTGATTGTGTAACTCAGCTTTGAAAGTTTTCAATGACTCTCCATTTGCACTGAATGTCTCAGTGAGATTTGGCACCAACGACATGAGACATCTACCTACTGTAGGTATCCCAGTAGATATAACCTTGATATCACAGACATAAACCTTTATTCTCCCTGCCAACTCCAGCTCATCAGCAAACTTTGCCTGAGCTAGTGAGTGCCAAGGTGAATTACCAGTGAATTTCTCTGACTCGTATGGATCTACATAATCAAGGAACATGTTTCCCTTGATTTCCCTCATCTCACCTAGCACAGAGCCAGGAACTGAACAGAGGCACTGACTCCACTTCCCTTTAATGTCATTGCCCTTGCACGAGTGTATGAAAAGGAGTATGGTATATGTAAATCAAACATTAGTAGGTAGAATTCATCAGCCTTTAAATAATAATGACTCCTTACACTTTTGCTCAACATTACTTTATGCCCTGATGTTTTAACTTAGTAGTTACTCATTTAATGAGACGACTAGAGGCCTTTTTAGTAAGATGAGGTTCTTATCCACTTCCACCCATAACTATATTTTTTAAAGTCATGTATTCATGTTTTAGTTGTCCTCAAACTTAAGTATCCTACAGTCAGCCTAACCACATGTGTCAAAGGAGATTATCAACTAAAAACTATTTTTGACTCTACAAATTCCCTATTTTTTTCTATAGGTATAAATACCTTTAAAGGCCAGTACTTTCACAGCCGAGAATATAAACATCCAGACATATTTAAGGACAAGAGAGTGCTTGTGGTTGGCTTGGGGAATTCTGGCGCTGACATCGCTGTGGAGGCCAGCCACCTGGCGAAAAAGGTACCATTCCTATTACCGCTTAAGGAAGAGCTTTATCTTAATACACATGCCTCAAGTAAGTGCTGTTTGATGCCATGATAAATGATCAAGATTTAAAATGCCAGACCCCGAAACTGTTTCTGCAGGTGGCATTGGGGATTTATCTAGGGCCTTCATATTCAACATATGCCCAGACCTTTTTTTGAAAAAAAAACAATTCTTTAACATAGAGTCTTCTCTTACTTGATTCTCCTGGGCTCAAATTTGTAATCCTCCTACCTCAGACTACCCAAGTTTAGGACCACCGTACTCAGCTACAGCATATTTTTAAAGTAATTTTAACTGAGTGTTCATAAATTGTACAGTGAATTCCAATTGTTTTTCCTCTAAAATTTCTCTGTCTTCAAATTTTTGTCATCTTCCTGGCTAGCCAACAAGCTATAAGACCTCTCTTCCTTACTCAGCACCATAGGTCAGAAGATCCTGGTCATGTTTCCTTGTTTAGGCCTGCCATTTACCCTTTAATTCCTGATCTGTTGCCAGATCTCATACTGAGACTTTTGCATTGTCTTCTGAAGAATAACTATAGAAAGAGTTCATATTTTTTAAGATTATTGTTTGCCCTGCATTACACTCAATGTGCAATGCTCCCACACTGCATTGCTTCAACCAATCATTAAAACAAGCCACTGAAGTAGATGCTGACCATAGATTGAGCAAGTAGGATCAAGAGAGGTCAGGTCACCTGCCAAATGCCAAAGCACTCATTAGGAATGCAGACAGTCCTCAAACCCTATTCCTTTTGCTTCAAAGCACATGCTCCCAACTTTTCCCTTTATCCTGGCACCTCAATAATCTCTGCAGAACATCCACCAACAAACAAAGCCTCTGAACAGTCTATTCCTGTAAGAGACACCCATGTCGAAATCCTAGTAACTCCTCTCTCCCACATGTGACATTCATAGTGGATGGATCTCTGTTAGCTTCTGTTTCAGGATCTCTGTTGTCTTACTTCAGGATAATGGGGCCAAAATTAATATGCCCTAAGATGTTTTAATACTTTATATATTTACACTATTATCCCGAGAGACTGACTTGTAAATGGCAGGGAGAAAAACCTAGACTACCTTGCCAAGGCATATCTTGCAGGTACCTTTCAATTCCTAAGTCTTCTTGAATCTCTTTGATTGCTTCCAGGTGTTCCTCAGCACCACCGGAGGTTCATGGGTGATCAGCCGAATCTTTGATTCAGGGTACCCATGGGACATGGTGTTCATGACCCGATTTCAAAATGCTTTCAGAAATTTTCTCCCAACTCCAATTGTGTCTTGGTTAATAGCAAAAAAGATGAACAGCTGGTTCAACCATTCAAATTATGGTTTAACACCTCAAGACAAGTAAGTGTCATGTGTATACGGAAGGCTGTTGGGGAGATGGAAGTGGAAACTTTCCAGTGTCATACAAACCACGCCGTATTATGGCGACATGCTTGGAGGTGTAAAATTTTTCATACAAATTTACTGGTAATAAGAATAACTAGATGAAAAAAAAGAATAACTAGATGTCCCTAAATGCTCAGTAAATGAATGTATGTATTTAACTGTTCAGGAAAAGTATTATTAGATTATATGATTTATATGCCTTTTTATGGCAGTATAAATGTTAGCAAATTTGATCACTTGGCCAAGCTCATTTAGTAGTGAAAAATCTCCATGACCTTGGTGAGTTACTTTGGCCTCAGTTGCAGCAAACAAGAGCAAATGATTTCTGTCTGATTTTGTTGATAAAAGTAAACACACTTGCATTGTTCCACTGTCCTAGAAAAATTGAATCCTATAGTTGTCCTTTCATCTTTCTTCTTGCCTTAGTGAAGACAATCTAGCCTTCAGTCTGTCCTTTTAGCTATAACCTACAACTTACTAAATTATCAAGAACTTAATGTTTTACTTTTTTATTCACTAAATCTTACAATGAAATTTCATTACTGGTAACACTGTTCACTCTCAGAATTTCACTCTGGACCTCCACGTGTATCAGTGGCCCCACGCCATCACCAGTGGCACACACTCTCCCCTTCATCACCTATAGTTCTGTTTTCTTCTTGACACTTTCCTCTTTTTATTGTGCTCACTCTTTTTCTTATTTCTTATCTTCTCTCCCACCTCAGGGTTTCTAGGAGGCTCCGCCTCTTTCCATTACGGTTCTTTCTACCAGCAATTTGATTTAACCTCAGTGGTGGCACACAGGACTAAAGAATTATAACCCTTCTTCCTTTCTGATGTAGTTAGTCCTTCACCATTCCAAAGTTCCTACATATGTACCATGTTATGCTCTTTCATTCTACCCAGCGGCCTAAGGATGGCAAGGTGTTAGCAGCCCTATTTTATAGGTCAGCAGAAGAAAGCCCACAGAGACCATGTGACTTGCTCAAGCTCTACTAAATTAAAATACACAACTAGAAAACAAATCATTCTGAATGCTTCCCACATCATATGTGTTGCTTTTGTATCACACTGTCTGCTTTGGCTATCTGGTATAAGCCACATGCGCCTCAACTTATAGAAAATCCACTCACACAGTGCTGGTCTTACAATTCCAAATACACAGCCAAAAAAAGATGAATTTGTCCTTCTTCTTTAAATAATTATTTTCTAGGAGAAAGGGACAGCTCTTACACGGAAGTTCTTGCTTTTCCTTGTAGCCTTTAAACCTTAAGCTAGCAATAGAATGACGGTGATAACTAAACATCACCAAACAAACAGAAGGTAAAGAAAGTTCTTTGGGAGCTTCCAAACTCTAATAAATGGTAGGCAGATTTTGTAATCCTTGGACATTATGAGTCCTTCCCTCAGAGGTAGCCTCTCCCCAAAACAGGCAATGCTTAACAGACAACAGGGTGGCCTCAAAATGGAGAGAGGGAGAGAAAAAAAGAGGACGCTGGCTCTGGTTTTCACCTGCACATTTCTTCCCTGTCCTTGCTTTGGTTAGGACTCAGGTGAAAGAACTTGTGCTAAATGACGAGCTCCTGGGCCGTCTGATCACTGGAAAAGTGTTGATCAAGCCAAGCATTAAGGAAGTGAAGGAAAAGTCCGTTATATTTAACAACACCCCAAAGGAAGAACCTATTGATGTCATTGTCTTTGCCACCGGATACACCTTTGCTTTCCCTTTCCTTGATGAGTCTGTGGTGAAGGTTGAAGACGGCCAGGCATCATTGTACAAGTATGTCTTTCCTGCACATCTGCAGAAACCAACCCTGGCTGTTATTGGCCTCATCAAGCCCTTGGGCTCCATGATACCTACAGGAGAAACGCAAGCTCGCTGGGTTGTTCAAGTCCTCAAAGGTGAGTGGATGACCTTTTGGTTTTTTGGTTTGCCATGTTACTTTGGATGCTGGAAAATTTGCAACTGTTATTCAGCTTTTATTTAAACCAAAAATGTTTAAAAACAGCAGTTATTCTATTATATACTGAATTCATTGAATTTGAATTATTCTGTCACAGTGACTCGTATTGAAGGGCAAGTCACTTCAGACCATCACCAGTGGAAATGATAAATCAGGGCTAAAAAATTGAATCAAAGAATTGATCTAAAATTTAAAAGTTCAGTCAACTGAGTGACAAAATTGAGTGAAACCAATTGTAGGATTCTGTTATGGCAAATAACTGCTAACACAGATTTATCTATTGAGTTGGTAGCACTAACACAAGCATTGAGTTGGTAGCATTAACATCATTTGACTCAGGGCACGAAAAATGAAAAATGAGCAGCAGTAAAAATTTTACTAAAATATTTATTTTACTAAAATATTTTACTTTGGGGCCAGGGAGATGGCTCAGTGGAATAAGTGCTTCCCTGGCAAGCACAAGGGCCTGAGTTCAATCCCCGGTTATGCAAAAAAAAAAAAAAAAATTTACTTATAGTATTTATAAGTAAACACCTAGGTCTAAAGTTAAATTACACTTTCTGTTTCTTATTTTACAGGTGTTAGCATATTGCCACCACCAAGTGTCATGATAAAAGAAGTTAATGAAAGGAAAAAAAATAAGCACAGTGGGTGAGTGAACTCATTAGGCATTTTTTAAATTATAACTGAAACTGTCAAACAATAGAGAGGGAAGCCTCTGAGATTTAGGGGGGAAAAACAAGACAGGCTTTCCAGAAAATAGAAGAAGAGGGGCTTCGAGGCGCCTTAATTTCCCGAGCATCATCACTTCTCCCCATGGCTATCAGGCACCACGCGGAGTTTGGAATCCAGAGCAAGTAGAACGAACTCTCATTTACGAGATAAATCGTCCCACACTTGATCAACAATCACCATCCCAGGCGCTCTGTGTGCTAGAAGCGTCTGCTCATTCATTCGTTCAGCAGGTCTGTGCCAGTTCTATTGCTGTCACGTAGGCTGCTGCTCTAGAGTAGGTGTCAGCCTGCAGTGGTCGGTGGACCAATTCCACGCACCCGGGTTTTGCTTTGCATTTCCATATAGCTGTAGGAGAAAAATAGGATTTTGCAACACATGAACATTGCATGAAATTCAAAGTACAGTGGCCATAAAATGTTGCCAAAATGCATATGTGCTCATTCTTTATATGTCATCATGGCTGCTTTTGTGTTAGCACAGCAGAGTTAAACAGTAGACACAGAGTCTGTACTATGGCCCTCCAAGCCCCTAGCAAACTAAATGTGTTGGGCTCTTCTCCAGAGGATAGGTTGAGCACGGGCCAAAGAAAACAACAGAGCATCTTCTGCTCTGTTCTGTAGCTACCACACAAGGGTCAGAAACAAGGGAACGGAGATAACCCACCCATCAACCAAACTCTCTCAGATTTTATCTGTTTTACCATTTGTCTGTTCTAGGCTTTGATGTAAACTTTTATGTGAAACTAAGAGGATTCTGTGGCAGAAGAAAATGTCTTAAAATCACTGCACTGAAGGAAAATGCCACCTCTTCTTCCATTCCTTATACTTTGTTGGTTTGTTTTTTTTTTGTTTTGTTTTGTTTTTTTTTAATGCATTTGGTACAGGATCTCACTATGCAGCTTGGACTCATAGTGAGCCTCCTGTTTTCAGCCTCCCCAGTGCTGGGACTATAAGCATGTGGCACCACATCCGATCTTAGTGGCCCACTCGGTACACCCAGGGGCAGGGCCAGCGTGGCACATGGTGCCGGGGATGGAACCCAGGTCCTGCCCTTGCCTAAGCAGGCACTTAGTCTGCTGAGCTATCTCTCTATCCCTTATTCCTTATATTATATCCACAGACTTTAAGTACTGATCTACCCTTGTCAAAGTGCTAAATTGTAAGACGATAAAAGCATTTTAGATCTCTCTTCTCAACCTACACCATAGTTTGATCTCTATTAAAGAACTCTAGTATAATAAGCAGCTAAGGCTTCTTGCCACATCAGTCAGTGGATAATTGCAGGACCTGATGATAGCATTATCAAGAATTCTACCCTCAGGAATTCTGTGATGAGTGCAATAATGACTAAGTTTAAAGAAACAGTATGGTCTGGTGCGATGGTTCAGTGGTCTAAAGCACTTACTTAGAGCAAGCTTAGCAAAGCACAGGGACAGCGGTTCAATCCCCCAGCACCACATGCCAGCCAGCCCTGCCCCCCTGATGGGCTGAGCTGGCCACACACACATACACACACACACACACACACAAATAAATAAAAAATTTTAAAAAAATAAAAATAAAGAAACAGTGTAAGACCATAGATATCATTAGATATACTATGGGCATAAAGGGGAGAAGACAGGAACCATTTCAAATTTTGCAGCAACAATTGTTTACTGTGGACCAATGTTCAGAGATTATCTGTACTTGTTCTAAGATTATAACAATTTTATCTTTTTGTATCCCCCATCTTTTTATGAAGGTATGGCTTACACTACTGCAAGGCTTTACAATCAGATTATATCGTATACATAGACGAACTCCTGACCTCTATCAACGCAAAACCCAATCTGTTCTCAATGCTGCTGACCGACCCACATCTGGTTTGGACCATTTTCTTTGGCCCCTGCTCACCGTACCAGTTCCGCTTGACTGGCACAGGAAAGTGGGAAGGAGCCCGAAAGGCCATCATGTCGCAGTGGGACCGAACATTCAAGGTCACCAAGACCAGAACTGTTCAAGAATCCCCACTTCTCTTTGAAAGTTTGCTTAAATGGCTGAGCTTTCTTATTTTGCTTGTGGCTGTCCTCCTGATTTTCTTATAAGAAATCTGCTAACTGCCTTTGCAGATGCACAGAGCACACGCCGCATTCTGACTCCTCTGCTAGAACAGCATTGCTTTCAAGGTATGAGCTGTGTCCAATAGCAAAGGCCCCCCATTAATCCTGAAGAAATCTCTGGGATTCCTTGAGCCTCTCCCAGCTGCATTATGTCTAATCCCAGAGGATGATAACTAAGATTTCTGTGCACTTAAAGACTGTTCTATGTAGCACTATGAGCATTCACACCTCTTTCTCATAAAAACTATTTTAAAGATTTCAACTGAAAACTGCCTTACAGAAGATTGTTTTGTGTTTAAAAAGGTGCTTTTATGGTAGTGGCTGATTAAAAATAAAAAAAGAAGAAACAAACCTAGAAGCTGTTTTCAGTGATCTTTTGTTCTCTTTTCATGGGTTGGAGAAAAAGAGGATGAGGCTGTGAAGAAAGCCCGTGACATGATGGCGCATCCAGTGAGTTCAAATTTCCAGAAGAATGTACTTTCCTGGGATTGTTCATTTTCTCAGAACATGCTCTATTAAAAGACAAAAAAAAAAGGACAGCTTCAGCTTATAAACCAAAGATTCAAATTGAATCTACTCCACAGAAAACACCACCTTCAAGGGCTAGCGAGATATCTCAGTGGACAAAGTGCCTGCTTAGGCAAGCGCAGGGACCAGGGTTCAATCCTTGGCACCATGTGCCACCTCAGCCCCAGCCTTGCCTGAGGGCGTGCTGAACCAGCCAGCGAGAGGTGGCACATACCTGTGATCCCAGCTCTGGGGAGGCTGGAAACAGGAGGATCACTACGACTCTGAGCCGCATAGTGAGACCCTGTACCAAGTACATAATAAATACATAAATAGATAAATATTTCAAAAGAAAGTACCTACCTTCACTAGCTCTTTGCTCATAATATATCTCATCTAGACTATCATTAAAAAGACTAAAGTATGTTCTTAAAAATAAAATTAAGCATTCATGGAGATAAAGAGCTGATAAACTAAAAACTAAAAAATATTGATAAACATAATTAAAGAAGACAAATGAATGGAAAGACATGACATTTCACTTTCATAGATTGTAATGCATGTTTTTTTAAGGATGTCACACTATCCAAAGCAATCTACAGATTCAATACTATCTTCACTAAAGTCCCAATGGTACTCCCTTAGCCAGTTTAGGCTACATGGGAAAATACCAGAGGTTAGGTGGTACACACACCAAATATTTAATCTCAAAAGATCTAAAAGATGAAAAGTCTAAGATCAAGGAAAATATAGATTCATTATCTGATGAGAAGCCTTTTCCTAGTTTACACAAAACCATCTTCTCATTATACCTATGGTAGAACAGTAAGACCTAGCCCTACAAGGGGCCAGGAGATAGCTCAGTAGAATAAGCACTTGCCTGGCAAGTGCAAGGGCCTGAGTTCAATCCCTGGTTCCACAAAAAAAAAAAAAAAGATCTAGTCCTACAGAAGAAAGACTAATTTGGGAAATAGATTTTTTCTCCCCTTTTAAAAGTAGTGAGTGGTCCACCCTCATGGTCTCATGTAAACCTAGTTACTTTCCATTATTATTATTACTATTTACCTAATAATATCCCATTGAAGGTTATCATTCCAATCTATAAATCTGGGGAAAGGGACACAAACCTGCAGTCCAAAGTCAACACTGTCTACAGAAGTAGAAAAAACAAGCCTAGAACTCCTAAAAAAAATTCATAGGAGGAAATCTTCTTGACATTAGTCTTGCAATGATTTTTGGCCTTAACACTGAAAGTATAGGTAGCAAAAGTAAAAATAGACAAGACTGCATCGAACTACAAGGAAGGAAACATATGAAAAGGTGACCTATCTAAAGGGAAAAAGTACTGAAAACCATATATCTGGTAGGTTACTAGAAGAAAAAAAAAAAAAAGCCTGTTCTAAACATGGGCAAAGACCTCAATAGGCATTTGTCCAAAAACAAAAATACCTCAATGGCTACCACAGGGGCCGGGAAGATAGCTCAATAGAATAAGCGCTTGCCTGGCAAGCGCAGGGTCCTGAGTTCAATCCCTGGTACCAAAAAAAAAATAAAATAAAATAAATAATGGCCACCAGACAAAAGCATTCATCACCACCACTCACAGGAATTATAATCGAAACTACCAAGATATAGTACCTCACCCTTAGAAAGCATAGGTACTGGCAAGGACGTGGGGAGATTTAAACTCTCCTACACTGTTTGTGAGGACGCAGTGTTTGTGAGAATGCAAAATCATGCAATTGTACAAAATAACATAAAAAGTCCTCAAAAAATTAAAAATAGAGCTATCATATGATCCAGCAATCCTACTCTTGAATATATATCCCAAAGGATTGAAATAAGGGATTTCAAAGAAATGTCTGTGCTGTGTGTCTATTACAGCATTAATCATGATAGCTGGGATGGTCAAACATAAGTATTCATAAATGGATGAATGGATAAAGGGAATGTGGACTAAATATATGTGAGAGTTAATTTTTTTTTACGGAACTAGGGATTGAACTCAGGCCCTTGCACTTGCCAGGGAAGCGCTTATTCCACTGAGCCATCTCCCCAGCCCATTAATCTTGATTTGCAATTTGCCCTGAAAGACAACTAGAAGATTAGCGAAGCAGACTTCTGAGTGTGCCTGGGTCAGGAGGGTGACTCAGGCTGTCTTCTGGTCCCCGCTTCCTGCCCCTCAGACCCTTCCTTGCTCTCAGGTCCATAAGCAGCTTTCCTCTACTGTGCTTTCACCACAATACTTTTTGCCTTCGAGTCAGCCAATCGCATACTGAAACCTATGAAAATCTTTTCTCTTTTAAACTGTGACTGTCAGGTATTCTCCCCAGGCATGGAAAGCTAGCCAATACGGAAAAGTGATGCAAAAGAAGTAAAGCAGTTGCTGTGAACATGCATCACATTGTGATTCAAAAGCCTTTGAACTGGCTTGCAGGAGGAGGTGGGGAAATTTGGCAAAAGCCATACAGAGAAAGCTTAAAACACTGTTGAGCAGAATTTATTGGGCCGGACTGTTCTGAGTATGAAAGACCAGACTGCTAGTAAGAATGAGGCCAAGTAAAGGGTGCATTCAAGAAGTTTCAGCTGGAAGTGAGGAGCATACTGGGAGTGGAATCAGAAACCATTCATGCCTGTAGAGAGCCCTTCTCAGTCCTCACTGAGGCCCAGAAAATTTATATTTATAACCCCATGGGAAAGTTACTGAATTTCTAGTGAGTTGACTCCAATCTGCCACTTCCAGTGTCACCTATAGCAAGAATAAAGACACGAAGCCATATTTGCAGTTAGAGGGAACCAAGGGGTCCTAAGCCCAGCTATCAGGATCGCTAACTGGAACAAAGGCCTCACCTGAGGACCAAACCCAGGTTTTATCAATTGTGAAGAAGCGAGTGGCATGAAATATGGTGCTGTGAGCCCAGCTAGGTAGGAAGCTTGAAATCGCCTCTGGAAAACGCAGAGAGAAGTATATGCAGAAAGAGTAATCTGCATAGCTAACTGAGGTAGTACTTAACACTCTGGGGTCAATGCTTCAGCTCTGAGGTGTTTGCTTTTTATGTCCTGGGAAGTCACAGCCCCTTATCTTCAGGATCCATGCAGGCCCACAGTATGGAACATACTCCTCATCCTGTCCTGGCTCACACACACTTTGGGGGCAAACCACAGGGGTGGGGAAACCCCGTGGCCTTACTTGAAAGACTACACATCAGCCCCTCAGCTGGACTGATTTGCACTGCTTACAGCCAGTTGAGGGGATAAGGAAAAGCCCTAGCCAGCTCTGTACACATCAGTACGTGGAAATTGGGCCAGATTTGGCCAAAATGGAGATAATTATTTTTCTTTCAAGGAGAGTCATCCAGGTTGTCCTCCACACACATCATCTTCAAGGAAATAATTTCTGTATAATTGATCCATGCCCTAAGACTTTGTGAGAGGCTAAGTTTAAAGGTTTAGTAAGTCGAAAAGAGAAAATTTCAGCCCAGCGTTTAGGCTGTTGTATGAGTACTACTGGCTGCTTTTGGACAGATTTTAGTGAGAGTTAGAAGCAAATAGCAGAGTGGAAGGATTTGGAAAATATTCAGTTTGGCCAGAAGAGAGGAGTACATTTTAGGCCATAGGAGTTGTGGTCACTGAGGAGAGCAGAACCCTTAGAAAGACATAAGATACTGTATCTGAGAAAAGAGAAAAGATGCTCTGGGAGCATCATGAGAATCAGGGAAGATTCCACATATTGCAGGTTTAAAGGTGTAACAGTATAAATTTCTCTTGATGCCTTTGGTTTAAGAAGTAAAGTTTAGGGTTTCCTGCTCAGAGCTGACTAGGAAAGTATGTCCATGCACTCAACATTGAAGGCATTTAGATTCAGTTACAGTTACCATCTATGTGATACCAGTTTTGCAGGCATACAGAACCCAGAGGTTATGGGATCACAAAGCATTATGTCCAAGTTTTAAAGGAAGACATCAGATGCCAGGCAATATGTGACATGATATAGTTCCTGCTAAGAGCCCCAAACAGGGGCTTCCACAAAGTTGGAAATACCGGGAAGATGGAACATCTGCCAAGAAAAGCTGCAGGCAGCAAACTGAGCCAGCTCAAGAGAGGCCACTACCAAGTATGTTAGGGAGCACCTACAAGCCCAACACTAAGACGGCTGAGACAGGAGGATTGCCACAAGTTTGAAGTCACCCTGGGCTATGCAGTAAGTTCAAGGCCAGCCTATCTACAGAGGACGATGACAGGAAGGGGCGTGGGGACAGAGAGAGAGAGACAGAGACAAAGACAGAGACAGAAACAGAGACAGACACAGAGACAGAGAGACACAGACAGATACAGAAACAGACAGACAGACCCCATGTGGAGTACAACTGGCAAGGCCACAGATGTGGTGTGCCAAAGCCCTTTGGAACTCACATCTCACTGCCACGTGCCCCAGATGCTGGACGTGGAGGTACAAGATTTAATGCTTGACCTGTTGGACTTTGGTCTTGCTTTGCTCTAATTCATTTCAACCTTCTATTCCTCCCTTTTGAAATGGGAATGTTTACCTTGGCCCACTGGATCTCAGTATTATATAACTTCCTCATGAATTTTACAGTTCACAACTGAAAGTTTGCCTCGAGTATCAGAGCAGATTGCCTTGGACTTGGTATAATGCCGCAACTGCTGAGAATCTGTGGAGGGCACTACTGTGGTTTTGGTTGTACATAGAGGAAATATTTTAGGCAGAGGTATGACTGAAGACTACTGAGTCAGAAACTGCTCAGAAAATGTCCCTAAACACAAAACCTAATATACTCTGCTATGTTCGCTTCTACATTTTCAGTGCAGAAAATAAAAGTGATGGCTACTTAACACCGTGGTACTAGGCTGCTTCCAGAACCCTTCTTTCTCTGCCCTAGGTGAAGATCTAATAACTTTAAGCTTTCTCAGACTGTTTACTAGCTCCCCCGCTATCTTAAGGATGATACTGTTTGAATTCCTCGTAAATCTTGAATTTAAAATCGTGCTTTTGGATTAGAAGACCACAGGCAGAAAAACACCCTCACACAATGTCTCCCTTTAGACGGCTGCCCCAGAGGCTGTGTTTTGGCGCCCTCTGAAGGTTACAATGATAACAGCACTGCGAACGACACGCTTCTCTTAATAACTGGGATTTCCGGTTGAGCTTTGACTTTTTCTCGTAATAACTGGGACTTCCTGTTGAGCTTTGACTTTTAGTTCTGTGGGGGTAAACGTTAGGAATTGTGTATTTCTTTCCAGTCCAAAAACTGTATTCTAGTTGGCCGTCCAGCTTCCTTGGAGCTACTTGAAGTATCAAAACCATGAGGCTACTCCATTTTTTCCCCTAGAGAATACTTTTTTTGCTGTCTCTAGTTTGAGAGGAAACAAATGATTCTGATCTTACTAGAAACACTTTGATCAAAATCAGCCATTTATTTATTCTTCTATGAAAATCAAGGAACGTGAGTTTCAGACGACTTTGGTTTTGGTTTTGGTTTTGATTTTGTTTACAGAAAAACACCATCTTGGCGTTTCAACTAAAAGAAATAATTTAAGTCCAGCTATCTGCTCTATGCAAACAAGGTAAGTGTCCTGGAGTTCTTGAAAAGGAGAAATGTTTACAGAAACTTCCTCTGCACAGGACGAATGTTCTCCTAGACAGTGCATTCTTTAAAAATGAGTGTGATATTTGGTTCTCTGAACAACTAATTTGAACACAACACTGTGCAATATACAATACTGTCAAATTCATATTATTTTGTTTAGTGAAATCTTGTATCATTTGTAATTTTTTTCTTTGTTAATACTATTTTGAGTTATCTTTAAAAATTAAAAAGTGAATGTGATTCTCTTCTAGTTACTCTTGATTAGGTTGACAACCAGAGTAAAGGAAACATACCCTCACCTCCCAAGCAAAGGAAGTTGTGAGAAAACAATCGCAAAGGTGTCAGTGAGAATAACAAACAAGCAGCTTTCATTGATTCTAAATTCACCTCTTATTTCAATTTATGAGTAGGCATTGGAAAAATCCAAAATATTAAACAGAGATTGTGATAGGGAATATTGTAACAGAGGAGGAGCCAGAAGGGTAATGATAAAAAATACTAATTAGGGGCTGGGAAGATATCTCAGTGGAATAAGTGCTTTCCCAGCAAGCGCAAGGCCCTGAGTTTGATCCCCGTACCACGAAAAGAAAAAGAACAGAAATACTAATTAATCAAATTTCAAACTGAAAGAAATCCTAATTGATGAGATTATCGGCAGATTCCCCACAGGTCTCTGCCACAAAAGAGGTTGGAATCGGTCAGTTAAGCATGAGTGGTAAGGCAGGGAATGGTTAGTTCTGTGTGGAGTCTGCCCCTCGGACAGTAGTCTAGCTCAGCAGATCAGAACTCCTGCATGCAAAAAGGCTGGACAAAACCAATCTTGATGAAGCTACTTTATGTTGTGTAGCAGACTTTAGAGTTTACAGGGCGTTCAAACCTACCTCTTCTACTCACAACCCTTTGAGCCTGCAGTATGCTCTCCCACTTTTGATTTTATATGTTTTTGTTTTGTTTGGCACCGGTTATTTGTTTTTTTCTTTGGTGGAACCGGGGATTAAACTCAGGCCCTTGTGCTTGCCAGGGAAGCACTTATTCTACTGAGCCATCTCCCCGGCCCCCACACACATTATTTGATTTTCTTTTTCTTTTTTTTTTTTTACATTCATCTACTGTATTTTAAAGAAAAATTTAAAAACATAGAAAAGAGGAGCCAGGGAGATAGCCCAGTGGAATAAACGCTTCCCTGGCAAGCACAAGGGCCTGAGTTCAATCCCTGGTTCCACCAAAAAAAAAATTTAAAAAATAAATAAAAACATAGAAAAGATACAGGATTTCAACACAAGATGATAGGAAATCAACAATGGTTATTATATTAGATATTATTACCTTCAAAGTAGTGCTTAGATTACCAGATATAGCCTGTAAAATTGATCAAAGAAAATTGAGTATTAACTCTTCCTTTGAAGAAACTAATAGAACCGGGGATATAGCTCAGTGCTACAGTGCCTGCCTGGCAAGCTCAGGGTCCTGAGTTCAATTCCCAGTGCTACAAAAAATTTAAAGAAACCAATAGAAATTAGTAGTACAATTATATTAGCTATCTCTGAGATATATATGTATATATCTCAGAGATAGCTAATACATTCTTTGGTGTGCATATATATGTATATGTATAAAATTTTCCCCTTCCTTCTTTATTTCTTTGCTCCTTCCCTCATCCTAGTTGTTCCTTCCTTTGAGCAGTTCCTTTCAATTTCACAATATCTGTTGCACCATTGGGTTCTTATTTACTCTTTCAGCTTCTTACACTGGGGAGACAATATGATGTTTACACATGTGGGTCTGATTTATTTCACTTTCGAGTATGGTCTCTAGTTTCATCCATTTATCTATGAAAGCCACGAGTTTATCTTCCTTTATAGCTGAGCAATACTCCATTGTATAAAAACACCATATCTTTTTTATTCATTGTTTAGTTGATGGGCATATGGGTTGTTTCCAAGATATAGCTATGACAAATTGTGCTGCTATAAATAAGGGGTGCATATATATCATTGTGGTATGATATTTGCAGTTCTCTGGAAAGCTACCTAGAAGGGGAGTAGTTGGTTCAAATGAGACCTCTAACCTTAGTTTTTTGAGGAATCTCCACATTGATTTTCATAGTACTTGGACCAGTCTACACTTCCATCAACAGTGGAAAAGCATTCCTTTTTCCCCACAGTCCCTCCAGCATTTGTTATTCATTGATTTCTTAATTACAGTCATTATTTCTGGGGTGAGATGGAATCATAATATTGTTTCAGTTTGCATTTCTTGAATGACCAATGCTGTTCAACATTTTTTCATATATTTATTTGCCATTTATATTTCTTCATCTGAGAAGTTTGTATTCATCTCAGATGCCTATTTTTTAATTGGGTCTTCGAATTTTGGGGGGACTGATGTTTTTTCATTCTTTTTTTTTTTTTTTTTTTTTTTTGGTGGAACCAGGAATTGAACTCAGGCCCTTGTGCTTGCCAGGCAAGCGCTCATTCTACTGAGCCATCTCCCCAGCCTGTTTTTTCATTCTTTACATGTTCTATATAGAATTTCATTGTTTTAGGAACAGTTGGCTATATTTTTTTTTCCAATTCATGAGGAGGTTTTTCACTCTTTTTTCTTTTTTTTGTGGAACCAGGGATTGAACTCAGGACCCTGTGCTTGCCAGGCAAGTTCTTATTTTACTGGTATTTCACTGGGCCCTCACTTTGTTGATGATTACTTTTGATGTACAAAAACTTTGCCATAAGATTAGATTACAGTTGGTGATTCTTTGAAGTTATTTCCCCTGAAGTTTGGATTTTCTTCATGAATTCTCTGCCTACCCATATGTCTTCAATATTTCTACCTACTTTCTATTCCAGGAGATTTATTTTTTTTTTCAAGACAGTGGATATATTTTAATTGAACTTTTCAGGTTCACAACATGACGTAAAGGGAAATACAGTTTTCCTTAACCAGTATTTCGCACAGCTATAGTAAAATACTTTAGACTTCAGGGATTTATAAGGGATTACATTTCTCAAAAAATGTGATCAAGTAAGTTTTACTTAACTCTTTGAAATTTCCAGTTGATTCTTTACAATAATAACAAGTTCTAGTTACTTACATTTCAAGGCCAAGTTTGAATCACACTGATGTCTTCAGATCTTAACTCCACCTGTTTCAATCAATATCCACTAATTCTACCTCAAAAATAAGTTTTGCATTTGGCAGAATTTTGGCATCAGGCTGTCCTTTCTTTCCATAAGCCCATCCTGGTTCAATCTCCAGTCGAGCCTTTTCACCTTTACTCATAGTCAAGAGCGCTTCATCCCATCCTCTGATAACTTTGCCCACTCCAACCTTAAAACTTAAAGGCTTGGCATTTTTCTTCTTCTTTGAACTTGTTTGAATATTAGTGTCAAAAACTGTCCCATGCTGCAGCGTCCCTGTGTACCAGCAGTGCACAACGTCTCCCTTTTTGGGAAAGTTGGTTTTATCTCCCTTTTTCAGAATAGATTTTGTGTATTTTGGTGGACCCTCATCTTGAGTCTCTTCAGACTTGGTTTCCTTGTGTTTTTCTTCATTGAGCTTCACATTTTTCACTAGATCAGTCACTTTACTTATGCTTTCAGTACCTTTGAAACACTTAGTTTCAAAAAGATTATTGTAAGCTGTAACCAAATGATCCTTATTAGCTGTCTTAGCTACATTTTTAATGTTTCCTAATAATTTATACTCTGCAAGAAACGAATCTGAACCGTGGTCCTGCAGAAACTTGATTATGTCCTTCTTGGGCAGGTGCACCCTGCGCAGCTGCTCCACCGTCCACGCCCGCTGGGGCGCAGCGGCAGCCATCTTCCCCCGCTGCTCCGCCGCACTAAAGCAGCCCTTCCAAGAGATTTAGTGTTTCTGTTTTAGTATTTAAATCTCTAGGAAGCTCAGCAGATTAAAGCACTTGCAAGCAAGCACAGGGGCTGGGGTTTGATCCCCAGGCCTGCTGTGCTGGCTCCGCCCCCAAGATGTGCTGAGACAGTGATTGAGCCTGGGCATGGTGGTGCACACCTGTAATCCCAGCTCTTGGGAGGCTGTAAACAGGTGGATCACGGAATCCAAGCTAGTAGTGAGACCCTGAACACCCTGTAGACCTTTCCCTAAAAAAATATAAATCTCTAGGAATGGTCAGATAACTCAGCGGATTAAAGTGCCTAGTTAGGCAGGGTGCAGTGGCCAGGTTCAATCCACAGTGTGCCATGCAGGCCCTGCCCTCTGGGTGCCCAGAGATGGTGATTGAAACTGGGCATGGTGGCAAGTAGCTGTAATCGCAGCACTTGGGAAACTGAAAACAGGAGAATTACTATGAGTCCTATCTATGTAGTGAGACCCTGCAGACCCTGTACTAAATACATAAGTAAAAAAAAATTGGATCTCTGATCCATTTTGACTTTAGTTCAGGGCATAGTAATAGATGTAGATCAAGTTTAAGTCTTCCACGTGTGGAAATCCGTTTTTCCCAGCACCACTTATTAAAAAGGCTATCTTTCTGGGGCTGGTGAGATGGCTCAGTGGTCTAAAGCACCTACTTAGAACAAGCATAGCAAAGCACAGGGACCACGGTTCAATCCCCCAGCACCACATGCCAGCCAGCCTCGCCCCCTGCTGGGCTGAGCTGGCCACGCACACACACACATAAATAAAAAAAAAGAAATAAATAAAACAGAGATTATAAAAAAAAAAAAAAAGGCTATCTTTCTTCCAGTGAACATGTTTCATCTTTTTGTCAAAAACTTGGTCTTTTTGTCCAAGCACACTCATGGCTGAGTGTGTTTGGATTTGTGCCTGCATCTTCTAATCTGTTTCATTGATCCTCAGGTGTGTTTTTACTGCCAGTTCCATGTTGATTTTATTACAGTAGTTTTGTAGTATAATTTGCGTCAGGAGTTTTGATGCCTTCTGCTTTGCCTTTGTTGCCCAGGATTGCTTTTGCTGTTCTTAAATCTTTTCTGGTTCCAGACAAATTTTAGAAATTTTTTTTCTCTACATCTGTTAGGTATATTAGTATACTAGGTATTTTTATTGGGATTGCATTAAATTGGTACAATAATTTTGGGAGTAGGACCATTTTCACAATATTTTTCTTACTATCCATGAGCAAGGAATATCTTTACACTTTCTGAAATCCTCATTGATCTCTTTTTCTCAGAGTACTATAATTTTTTCTGTATAGATCTTTTACTTCCTTTTCAAATTTGATTCCTAAGTATTTCAGGTTTTTGGATGCTATTGTGAAGGGTGTGTTTTCCTTAATTTTTCTCAGTTTGTTGTTTGTGTGCAAGAATGCTATTGATTGTTGAATTTTGACTTTATATCCAGCTATGCCACTAAATTTAGTTATTAAATCTAGAAGTCTTTGGGCCAGCCAGATAGCTCAGCAGTTTAAAGCACCTGCAAGCAGGTGCAGGGGCTGGGAGTTCAATACCTAGGCCTGCCCTGCTGTCCCTGTCCCCGGGGCACACTGAGATAAAAATTGAGATTGGACGTGGTGGCACACACCTGTAATCCCAGCACTTGGGAGGCTGTAAACAGGAGAATCACTATGAGTCCGATCAAGTAGTGAGACCCTGAACACCCTGTAAACCCTTCCCTAAAATACAGGAAAAAAAATCTAGAAGTCTTTTGGAGGAGTTTTTGGGGTCTTCTATGTAGAATATCATGTCATCTGTGAATAATGATAATTTCACTTCTTCCTTTCCTATCATTATTTTTATTTCTCTCTCTCATCTAATTGTTCTGGCTAACTGAATAGGAGTGGTGACAGTGAACAGCCTGGTCTTGTTCCTGATTTTAAAATGAAAGCTTTCAGTATTTGTCTGTTTAGTATGATGCTGTCTGTTAGTTTGTCATGGATGGATTTTATCAGGTTGGGTAAAGACCGTATTTTCTAATTTTCTGTAGGGTTTTCATGATGAATGAGTGTTGGAGTTTATCAGAAGTTTTTCTGCATCTATTGAGATGATAATGTGATTTTGTCTTTGACTCTGTTGACATAGTGGATTACAGTTAATAATTTACATATATTGAACCATCCCTGCATTCCCAGGGTGTGCTGAGCCTGCAATTGAGATTGGTGTGGTGGTGCGCACCTGTAATCCCAGCTCTTGGGAGGCTGTAAACAGGCAGATGACTATGAGTCTGATCTAGAACACTCTGTAAACCCTTCCCTAAAATTAAAAAAAAATTTTTTTTAACCATAAAAATAAATAGATAAAATAACACAGCTAATAGATCACAAAGGCAGTACTTAAACCAAAACAGTCTGATTTCCAAGACTGCATATTTTAGCAAGAATGTGACTCAGCCTCCACTCAAAGGTGGAAGGAGAGGATTTCTAGCCCTGCCTAAGCCCACTCCTGTGGCCAGGCTCTGTCCCAACCTTGTGATGTAAAGAAGTGCTGTTTGTCCTTCTCTCACAGAGCATCCCATGGCCAAGAGAGTCGCAGTGATTGGAGCTGGGGTGAGTGGCCTGTCCTCCATCAAATGCTGCTTGGATGAGGACCTGGAGCCCACCTGCTTTGAGAGAAGTGATAACTTCGGGGGACTCTGGAAGTTTTCAGTGCGTGCCTTACCTGTACCCATCCCCATCTGTCATAATCTGGCCAGTTGCTCTGTTTCTGCTCAGTCAGGTGGCTTCAGCCTGCCTTGATGACCAAGTGAGGTGACCAAGTGGCTGTCTCATGGCAACCACAAGAGCGTGTGCATGGTGCAGTGATAGGCACTGTGCAGATGCAGTCTGATAAATGAGGAGCCACCAGAATAGGCAGGCATGGTCAGGAATTTGAGGAGAGAGGAAGGAGTTACATTTAACAGACAAACACATGGTTGGAAGTTTATGATGATTTCTGGACCATGGACATAATTAAACAAAGTAGCAGTGTGCCACGTCAGTAGAGCTGAACAGCACTGGTGTATATGGAGTAGATTACACTAGGGGAAACGCGTGGGAGACAACTAAGCTGCATTCTCCTAAGAAATGAAACCCCTTGCCTTTGTCTTTACCTGACCTTTACGTCAACCCTATTGACTGAGTGTGCAGACCTGGCTCTATTGAAGTACATGTTCCTTTAGTTGGCCAAAAGAATGTGATTGTGTCCAGCCAATGCACCAGTGAGTCTCATCATAGCAAAGCAGGTCAGAATTGCCCCCTGCTGGTGGCTAGAATAGAGGCTCAAGCAAGAACTTGTGAGATTCCAGGGCTAAGACATGAGATAACATTTCAGCTAAGGCCACAAGACTCAAAATGAATTATACCTTCCTAGAAGTAAAGGTGTCAGCCCGGCATACATCAAGCAACCTGTTGTGCCACTAACTGAAGGGCCTCTGTGCCTGGTGCAGGGGTGGTCTGTTTCTCTTCACAGCCATGCCTGCAAAGGTTCTCTTCCCACACACTGACATAACTCCTACCCACCTTCCTCATTGACACCAACAATAGTTGTGTACTCTTGGACTCATGACCCTTGGTTCCACAGAAAACACTGAGTCATCCCAGAGCCTCAGCTGCAGATTTTTCTCTTTTTCTTTCCATCCATGTGCTACATTGCTGGGTAAGAGACTGATACCCTCCACAAGGGTTTCAGTAAACATGGAAGTTGGCATCAGGGAGTGGAGGTGCAACCCACAAGCACTGTCAGGTATTTGGGAAGGGAACTAGCAGGAGGGAACCAGGATCTCAGACCTTAGAAGGTTTGGAGAAAAGATTGTATGTTACCACAATAAAAAGAACCCAGGAACTGACCAATCCTTCTTAAGTAGAATATAAAGCCCAGGGGACAGTTCTTATGGCCAGGCCAGCTGTCAGATGACCTGAACAGTATAAAGTTGACTATAAAGTGGTTAAAATCCATTTACCTCTGGCCAGGATTGATCCTTTCTAGAAGCAGCAAAGTTTGCACTGGGAATAGAAAGACTCACCCCAGAGGTGGGTAAGAAGGTGTCAGAAGATGGAATCCGGGCAGGCAAAGTGTCAAATACTTCAGAGGAAAATAGACCAGCAACATCCTTTTGACTGCTTTGAATGATAGAAACTTCTATGGAAGAAATGACACTTGCTGACTCTTCAATCAATAACAAAGGGGGGAAAAAAGTCAAAGTTTTGTAGGCAGCAATGGCCCAAACTCTAAGATTCCAATGTGGGAGCAATAGAGTAGAGACAGAAATCTTTTTCTGGTACACTATGAGCCTCCTCAGACAACAAAAGCCGATAAGAAACCACTGGTTTTGGTTTATATAGCTGCTGCTACAGGTAACCCTACATTTGCTTTGATATTTTTCCCTACCCTAATGTAATATAAGTTAGTTTTAGAAAGTAATACTGAGTTAGACATAAGAAAATAACTGTAATAACAATATCTCCAGCTCAGGACTATTGAAATTTCAACATAATCTTTTCCAGTCATATAAATGCTGTTTTAAAACAAAACAAAACAAAATGATGCTATTTGTTTCTATTCATTCAGTACATACTCATCATACCCTTCTGCCAAGACACAGAGGTTCACAATACAGACACAAACCGTGACCTCCTTGCAGTCTAGTGGGGAATAAAATCAGGAAGAGGTAAATGTGATTGATGTAATCAGCTCATCTCATTTGTTTCTTTGTAGTATGAGAAAGATGTATTTAATTATTTCAATCCCACTAATGATTTCTCATCCTTCTACTATGAGGACCTAATACTGGCTTTGCTGGAAATCATTAAAATGACGAGTAGAAGGGCCAGCCAGATAGCTCAGTGACTAAAGTGTCTGCATAGGCAGAGCGCAGCAGCCAGGGGTTGTGATCCCTGGTGGGCCATGCCAGCGCCACTCCTGGGTCACACTGAGATAGCGATTGAGACTGGGTATGATGGCACATGCCTGTAATCCCAGTGCGTGGGAGTCTGAGAACAGGAGGATCACTACGAGTCCGATCTATGTAGTGAGACCCTGTAGACCCTGTACTAAACACATTAAAAAAAAAAATATGACAAGTAGAACTGTAAGGGCTAGAGGGAAACCCTTCCAGCTGGGCTGCCACTGTCCAGCAAAATCTCTGTTCACTTGCTCCTGTCCCCTCCATTCCATGAAGCTAACTAAACTTTCCCCACAGGAAGAACCCAAAGATGGGATGACCAGGGTCTACAAGTCATTAGTGTCAAATGTCAGCAAGGAAATGTCATGCTATAGCGACTTTCCCTTCCGAGAAGATTATCCCAATTTCATGAGCCATGGGAAATTTTGGAACTATCTCCAAGAATTTGCTGAGCACTTTGGTCTCCTCAAATACATTCAGTTCAAGGTAAGATACTTCAGTGTTTGGAAAGTTAATAAATGAGTCCTGGCCTATTCTGCAGTCTAATAGAAATGAGATGGCTGTGTGAATTTGTCCTTGATTTTTTTTCTCTCCATGAATAAGGCATTTAACTTGTTGCTCCTGCACCTTATGTTTTAACAAAATGAATCATTAAAATGCTAATTTCTTTGTGCTCCTTTAAATGCTAACCTTTCACTGAACTTGAAATTTAGGCATTTTTCCCTTAGAACTAAAGGTTTCTCTCTCTCTCTCTCTCTCTCTCTCTCTCTCTCTCTCTCTCTCTC